CAGTTAACCTGAAATGGGCAATGTGTTCAAATGAGGTTTTGGTCTGGTGTCCATTTCAAGTATAAAAAGAAGCAAATTGGCTTTAATGGAAATAAAAACTATAATTGCCAAGTCAGGACAATAACATTTAGTTAAGTGTTTTATTATTTTGAATTAACTGAAGCCAACAAGTGGATAGAATTGGTCTCATAACGATACTAGAACAATAAATCTGCGAGTGTGTGTGTGAAACATTGCCTTACAAAAGAGACCAGCCATCTGACACAACATTTCTAAAAGAAGACAAAGAACTGCTAATTATGTTAATTTTCATTTGCTACGTAATTTAGACCATGATCTAGTGCTTCTAAAAAAACCTGTACAAAATGAGTATTTTTTACATCTCAGAGGCACATGAATACAAATCTGATCTAGTTTATATATACACATGTACAAGAAACCAGATGATCAAATGAAAGAAGTGTATATAAAAAGTGCCCGAAACAGATGATAAAATGCAAAAATAAAATGTATCCTCACAACAGAGAAGTAAAAGGCACAAGTACTAAAATACGTAACCATGCAAAAAACGTGGGTAGTCTGTGCAACAAAGAAAAACAAATGGCTCTCACAACCAATTTTACAGTAATTCTCAAAATGTTTCAGTATTTAAACATAACATCAGTGCAACATTTACTGCCCTGTAGCAGGTTCACAAGACACGAAATTCTCAGTTCCCCTTCTGGCATCCTTTCTCCAAAGCCAGAATAATTTAGCTACAGATAAGGTATTATATAAAATAGGGCTGGTGTTGGGTAGTGTAAGATCCCTGTGTGGAGGAGTAACTGCAGCCCTCCTGCCCCCTTACCCTCTGCACACTCTCCCAGGAGAGTCCCTGCCCCTTGATGGGGCACAGCAGCTCTGAGGGGTTTGCCAGGGCCAGTGTCACTGCTGACAACAGGGGTGTGAAAGCTCCAGCTCACATGTCACAGCTGCACCACTAACAACACCTACACCAACCAGAAATACGGATTCGAGGGGTAGGTGTCCAAATTACACCACAGAAGCCCATGTCTGTTACTGTTATGTTTTCATGAGGTTTAAAGTTTCAGTCAAAAGTAATCCCTCTGTGTCTGTTTGAACAGGTACTACTCTTGAGTTGAAACAAAACCTTCACACTTAAGCCAAACACTTAAGCTAAAACCCATCGTATCCTGAACACCACGTAGCACTGTCAGCTGGCTCCACACTGTGGCAAACCCTGGTACCGTGGCCCTGGCTGCAGATGTTTGTGTCTTTATGGGCTGCTGCCGTTCCCTGTTCCCTTCGAGGTGTGCCTGCCAGGCTCAGCTGCAGGGCTGTGCCTCTCACAGGCTGTGAGTACAGAGTGCAGTGGGACACCTGTACAGAATCCAGGCAAAACCTGTGGCACATCCCAGTGATCCCACACCTGGATCACCTTCAAACTTACCCTACCTGCTTGTACACTGTGAGAATCAGCTTCAGTGTTTTGTACATGGAACACAACCAGCTTTCATGACCACACAAAAGGCAAGGACAGGACTGGCCTGGTATAAAGACAAGGCTGAAATTCTTGTCTCGGTAGCTAAAGCCATACTGAAGCCAAGAATGTTGAATTTGTCCCTTCCATCTGCTCCCAAGGCACACAGCCACTTTGACAGTGGGCACAGTGGCTGGGGACAAGACAGAGTATAAATGTCAACAGAACAAATACTGGGGAAGAATACCAGAAAGAAACAACTCTCTTGCACGTGGATAGGAGCAACTCCCAGTGCATTATACAGGATGACAAGATTCAGACCCAACACCTACTGCAATCCTTCTCAGTATCTAAAGGTGCATGCGGAGTTTCATTAAACAGAAACCCACACGTGCTTCAACAGCAAACTGCTCCTAGAATCAATACTTTGAATTCAAAAATACTGAGAAAAAGCCCCGGGGATGATGCAAAGAAAAAAATTGTCAGCAACTGTGGAACTATATCCTTTAAAACGAAGCAGCTGTGTTACATCACCTGTCATGACTTCTTGACAATGTTTCTCGAGAAACAAATGACTTGACAAGAATATGAGCATTGCTACTTACACCAGGAACTGCTCAGTTAAAGTTTGAGTCAAGTTTTCACTTAAATCAATATAAGCCAAGCCACTGATTTGGCAAGTGTTTGATCAGCTGCTACTTCCTTCCTTCCTTCCTTCCTTGGAAAAAATCCCTCAGACCACACCATACAGTATTTGTTTTAAGAGAAAACCACTGTATGTTCACTGTCATCAAAGAAGGAAAAAAACTGATCTTTTATTTGTAAATTCTAGTTCTTAGACTCATCACATGTCACCAGCACTATGATGCAGAGACCGCTGAGCCTGGTGTAACAGCCCAAAGTGTGTGTTTATGTATCAGCTTCCAAGCCCTCATTTACAAACCAGATTAGGGAGCCTAAACACTGTAGCTCTAGATCCTCTCTGGAGAGCAAGGCAGTTCTACCCAAGTAAATGGAGCATTGCTGCACTCAGACAGCAAAATATTTGTTGATACACATATCTTTGAGAATTAATAATGCTGTGTTCAACTCCCTACAGAGCTGGCTGAGAAACATCTGAATTTCTCCCAAAGACCATGAAAGGAAAGTTGGCAGCAAAAGTGCATGGGATGGTTTGGGGTTTTTTTTTGAGACTTGCTACAAATTTGCATATTAAAAATTCCTTAAAAATAGATGAGATAGTTACAGTTTGTCACTGTTGCACTTCAAAATAAGACAAATTCTTAAAGAGTTTGAGTCTTTAACAGAAGTTATTAAGAAAGCTGAAAAATCTTCTTTTGATGTCAAAGCAGTTTTGAATCAGCATCACTCTGAAATCAATACTAGGCAACAGCTCAAGACTGAAGTCTGGAGGGAAGCAACCAATACCAGAAAAATCTTGAGAGACTAATTTCAGGTACTCTCAAGTGCAAGTTTTGAAAGAGGCAATTTTTCTGTGTGTAGAACTGCCCTGACCAAGGGCAGCTTTCAGCCAAAAGCCACTGGTACGAAAATACCTGCGGTGGTTTGCAACTGGTTTGACCAGAATATCACTTTGCTTTTGAGAGTCTGAGGTTGAATGAACTAAGGAACAGATCAAGATACAGAACCTGGGATTGTGTTCACGTCCCCAAGGGTTAAGTGAGAAGCAGGGGTCTGACACAGCAATGTTTGCTGCATTTGTGCATTGCTACAACAGGGTGATACTACATTTCTGTGTTTGAAGTTATTTACCCAGGGAAGCGAGGCCCTTGTTCCAGCAAGAGTAACACTGACAGAGGCAGGCTGTACTTCCCCAGCTCTCCTGAGAGCACAAAGGCAGCACAGCAAAGAAGTAAAACTTATCAGAGAACAGACACCCAAACTGGTGCCTCCCTATCGCCACGTCTCCCGTCTGTTCCGCCAAAGTGTCTGGCACCTGATCAAAGTGTGCACTCTCTGCACCTTCAGCATCAGATTCCTCCCTGCCCCAGTGACCCATCAAGTGATCTCTTATTACCAAGTTACCTGCTCGTCATAAAATGTGATGACTTCTTTTCTGGGATAGAAGGGCTTTCCAGAGCTTGAACTGCAAGACAGATTGGTCTAATATCTGCAGTTACTCAGTCTAAGAATGCAATTGCTAATTATTATTTTTAGAAGTGGATACCTTAGAGGAAAATCTGCCAGTGAAATGCCTCTCCCACCTCCAACTCACATTATCTGTCAAACATAGCAAGTATCTGGATACGTATTTCAACAGTACCAGACAGCAGTACCACACCAAGGGCCCCACAGGAGCAGAAGGGTAACTCCTTTACACAATAAAACAAAGCTACAAACACCACCAACATGGTGGTAAGACAACTTTTCAAATGCAAACAGTGGAGCAAGTAAGAGCTTCTACATGCTGACACACTTGGGTACAGAGCTGAGGAAGAAGTCCTCCAAGATTTTAGAAAATCCACTGCTGGGAATATCCCTTTCAGGATTTTGGCCAGATTCGGTGACTATTTGTCACTAGTAGTGACTATTCACCTCTTACATATAATTACCTTCACAGGAACTTGGCTACCACTACAGTCATGTCTTCTGTTGGCGTCCATGGGCTCTGTGGTCTCAGTGAAGTAAGCCAGGCTCTGCTTTCAGTGAAACAGTCCTCAACATTTGCTGATGTTCCACCCTAGTGGGGACGGGTTTCAGATTATTAAAATTTTGAAGCCAAGTCTAGTTTACTTAAAAAATAATTAGGGAAAAACATTCAGTCACCAGTCTAAGCTGCAACAGCTTCACTCACATTTAAATCCACCACACAGGCCAGCAGTGTAACTTCCCAAACACAGCCAGCTCCAGAAGCAGGGCTGCTGGTCACCCAGCCCTGCTTGTCACAGCAGGTGAGCAATAGCCACCTGACCATGTGGAAGAGTCCTCTGTGGCCTATACAGAGAGCAAAGTCCCTGGCACAAGCCACAGATAGCACCAGGCAGAGGGAAATGGCATCACTAAAGTGCAGGTGAGGAGTCCTGCAGGCAGGTAGCACCAAGTGGCTTAACTGTTCCTCTCCTACCTTCTGGGTGGCACATCCAGAAGCAGCAGCAGAAGGGTGGCTGTGTGGGGTTTCCATGGTGTTCCACCAGCTTCTCCACAAACAGAAGCTGCTGCAATGTAGCACAGGACATTTTACACCATTCCCAGGTGGCAAAGGAGTGGTTTTAAAATCCTTTCCTCCAGATTACCCCAGAGTCCCAGGAACCCAGCCCTGAGACATAACTGCTTAAACCACACTGCACCATTTCTCCTGCAGACACCTTTGTGTGGGGTGTTGTGTCCCACAGTCATTCCTCTGGTCCCTTCTCTCTTTCCAGTTACTTTACACCTGCCTAATGCAGATACATAGAAACAAACTGTTTTTATTTTCTTGCCTTCAAGAAAGCCTGATTCCAGCACATCCCCTGCTTCCCATCGCTCCAGTAACACATCACTGAAGGCAAGAGCACAGAGATTGCAGAAAAATATATATATATTTACATCCATAACTGAATACAGTTTTATGTATTCAAATTCAGGAAAAATGCATCACATATACACACCAAGATACATCGAGAGAATACTAAGGGCAAGACACTGCCAACAGCAAGAAATACACAGAAAAGCACAGTCATTGCTACTGTAACGTTCTTCTGGGGAGTGTATTCAAGAGAGGAAACATCTCTATGCACTGGGGAAAGCCAGATACTCGGGCCTATTTTTCTGTGCCAGTTGGTGTGAATCAAAAGTGTGAAACTTTTACTTTAAAAAAAGTGCATGGAATAAAATTCCTTTTTAGCATTCAACTACCCAAATGATTCCATAAGCTCCTTATATAAGCTACATTATTAATTAAAAAGGTCCTAGCCCTACAGTACACAGATCCAGCTCCGGAGAACACAGGCACATGTTGAAGTCATCCCTATTTAAGGCAGCATTTAAGCATAAACTCAACTTTAAAGCTTATATTCTGTCACACTGACTTCTCTGAGCAGTCTCAGTACACACTTAAAAGTTAAGCACCTGCACAACTGCTCAGCTAAGCGAGGATGTGTTCCCTATTTAGAGCTTTAGATATGCACGTGTGTGCTCAGTCTGGACTGGTAACTCCTGCAAGACCAAGCTCCTTCTTTTTCCTGCCCTATAGGTAAAATCCACTCCACACCAGACTGCTCTCCATGGCTGTGTCAGCAACCACTGGATTCTCTCCACAGCCTGCCCAAAAAAAGGTCAAAGGAGTGCAGCTATATGGGCTGGAAAAGCAACTCAGCACGTGATGTCAAGGGCTGCTCCTCCTCCTCCTCCCCTGAAGACATGTCATGCAAAAATTTATTTTTTTTTTTTGGTAAGAACTGGAATGCATTCCTTCAGTGAAATCTTTAAACTCAGGGTGAGGGGAAGGGGCAGGATCCCAGAATTCATCTTAATGGCCCGTGATATACCCCTGAAAATAGGGGAAGAGATTGGAAGAGCTCTTTGCCTCAATGCTACAGGGACCCCCCTCCCGGCACAACAAACACACACACCGAGGAGCAGCTGGCTCAGAGCACCCCAGAGCAGGCTCCAAAGTGATCTTACATCAAAAGCACTTTGTGCTGACAGTGGCAAACAAGTGGATGGTGATTTTTTTTTTCTTTGCAAATAGCAAACAATTTTGCAGTATCTTCCTCTTCTTCCCGTTTACTTTGTGTCTTGTCTTTTCCCAAAGTTTGTTTTTTTGTTGTGTGTTTGGTTTTTTGTTTGTTTGTTTTTTTTAACCCGATGCGTGGTTGAAGTACTAAAACTTAATCAAATAGTAAATTACACAGTCAGCACCAGTCAGGAACTGAACCTGGGTATGTCAATTGGTTTGTGGTACCCAAATTCCTGGAAGAACGAAGAAAAAATTCTTGCTCCTAAAGTTAGGGCCACATCCATATGTTTCCATTGTCTTTTTTACCTTTACAACTAGAGGTAGAGTCATTTTGTCCAGTATCTAAAACAGCATGATCCAGTTATATTGTTATTACATTAATATACAGTATCCATCTTATCACAGGTATTGAAAGTGCATGGAAAAAGTCTAACCAAGCCAATTCAATGACAAATAACAGTGTACCAAACATCATATAAACACACCCGCGCACCCACACTCACACGTAGTGTATATATATATATTTATAGATTAATTTACAGTATCAGAGTGTTGTTTAGATCCAGTGGCATGTGCAGAAATATCAGGCAGTTGCTGCTTTTCCTTCTCCTATTCTCTTCAATTCTTTATTTCCAAGATGGACGGGTTGTGGTCCAGGATTGCCAGAATGATCTTGTCCATATACTGTCGCAATCTGTAGTTTATCTCTTCCTGCTCTTTGAGGGCTTCCATGAGCTGAAACACAACATTTCCAAGTTACTCTTGAAATATTCTCACTAGTTTACCAATAGTTAGATTTTTGAGCTGTGAAAGGCCCCTCAACCTCTCCAAAGATGAAGACTGCTTTGGCTTTTTACATCACATGTCCAATGCCAAACTGGCAGAGCTGCCAAGGAGTGACAGAGCCCCAGATCCTCCTAAAGCCCATGTTATTTGGGTGTCCATTTTCATTTGCCTTCACATAAGTACTACCCTGAATCTGCAGTTTCTTACCTCTGTTTTATTAGACAGGAAAAATGGCACAAATGGGAACAGTTTATGCAGGTCTGTGAGGTTTTACTGAGCCTGGGCCACAGCTGTCAGGCACTTCCCTCCTTTGAAGGGGGAGTGCTGGGCATCCCTTGCATGAGCCAGTCATGAGATACACAGGGAGAAAGTCAGACTTTTCTTGACAATAGCAAAAGCCCAATTTGCTTTTACCTAATTAGAGATCAACAATTAAACACCTTCCTTCTCAGAGCTCTGGTTCAGCAAGAAACTCAAGTATGCACTTCACTTCAAGGGCCTGCCCAGGAGTTAAAAGGCTGGCAGGTCATTCCAGTACACACTGGGTAAAAGGCCTGTCTCAGGACTCCTTTTGATGAAGAAATGGGGAATTCTGTCTGGAAGAAACAGAGCATAAAAGGCAAACAATTCCTTCTAATCTCCTTCACCACTAACCTGTCTTCTTCCCTGGGAGCTTTTATGTATCCATGGGCCTGATCTCACAATCTGTCCTGGAGCTCAGAGGAAGCTACATGAGCTGGACTCAGCCCACAGACAAATGGGCCTCCCATAATATCTTCCAAAGCATTATCAGATTATTAATTGCAAACTACTTATTTTCTTCAAGAATTCAGCTCTGCTACAGGGAATATAGGCAATATATAGCTCAAATTTACATAATAACTACCTATGGTCATTTCTGTATGAAACTTATGTCATACTATTACAATACCCTAAAACTGTAAAACAGTTCACTGAGAGTCTCATAATTCCTTTTTTTTTGAGAGAGAGAAATGGGAGAGTTATATTACAAGGAGCATCCCAAAACACTGTTAGACTTAAGGCAATCTTCCAACGCTCCTGAACTCCTATCAAAGCAGAATTTCTGTTGTTCATTTGTCAACTTCAGACAGTTCAACCTTGACAGTTAATTACACTGCAAAACGCTTATTCTTGGATGTGGTACCTGATTAAAAGAGCACATTACCTCATCTCTTGATGCAGAATCAATTTCAGCAGCCAGTGACTGGGCTTTTGTTTGCGTTGCAAAGAGATTTTTAGCTTCATAAAGACTGAGGCTTAGGATCTGTCCATTAAGGTCATCATTTTGGTCACGAAGTTTCTGATTCTCCTGTTTCAGGAGGATGAAAAGACAAATCGCTTTTAAGTTCTTCCTACAAGGTTTCATTAAAAATAAGTAATATTTTAACATCACAGGTAATGGTGACACGTGGGTGAGGCAGTAAATTAACAGCAGCTCTCTTACCTCCAGTGACAAGTCCTCCCTGCCTGGATCACAGGGCACAATTCACATTACTGATGCAAAGAAGTCCTGCACAGATGCAATGTGCATCTCACGCTTGTGATAAAGGGGGGACAAAACCTGAAGGCAGTGTGCTGGGGTTGCAGCTGTAGGCATTTTCCAAGGCAGCCCCACACATTTCACGTGGGTCAAGAGGCCTTTTCTGCTCACCTGCTTCAGCCGCTTTATTTCGTGCTCCATCTCCACCTCCCTGGTTTTGGCGTTGAACTCGCTCACGCTGGATGAGGAGCTTCTCCCACGCCCAGGGCGTTCACATTCCAGCTTGTACAGCTGCAGGTGCTCCAGCTCCTTCCGCAGGTCTTCGATGAGCTGTGGGCACACAAGGAGGTCGTGTATCTCCAGCACAACCCTGCACAACCATCCCCCCTGCAAACAGCCACCTCTGTGCTCAGACAAGCACCCTGTGAGCCTGGCTGAGGCCAGAGCCCTACAGCACAGCCACCTGCTCTTCTGTGGAAGCACAGCTCACTTACACCACCGCAGAGATGGAAGGGGCTCTGACTGCTAACCTTCATGTCCCTACATGTCCCTAAGCATAATTGCCCTAGTATGGGAAGTATTAGGGCACACATTTGAAGCTGCAAGTTCTCAAAGAGTTGTAAACCCTTTGGGTCAGGGATTGCCATTTATATTCTTGCAGCGTTCATCACCCTGTGGGCACCCCTCCCACAGAAACACAATCCAGCAGGACATTCCCTGGTTGTGGTATTCTCAGTGCTCATCCTGTCTGCCCATCCTTTTTCAGATGGGTTTGCATGCAGGTGAGAAGAGACTGCCTGGCCTTACATCCCTCTTCACACCTACCTCCTGTGTGGCTTCCCTCTCCTTGTTGAACTCCAGCCTGTTCTGCCGCAGCTTGTCCATCATTCTCTTGTACAAATCCATCTCATCCTTCAGTCGCAGACTCGTGTCCTCCAACCTGTCTGACATGCGTTGCCTTTCCTGCAATAAACGGGGAACTCCATAACCAGCTTGCAAGTGCAGGAGAAACCCTGAGTTTTACAACATGAACCTACAGACACAGCGGGTCGTAAGATGGTTTGTGTCCCGGGGTATTCCTGCCTCTAAATGTTCCAATTCCATTAATAGTTTAAGGAAGAAAAATTTAAGAATTCGGGCCAAGCACCGTATGAGTTTTGCTCTTACACAAATGAAATTGCTGTTAAATTGCTCAAGCACTCAGGGGGGTTTTGTTACCTCATCTAATCTCTCCGTTTGGGATTTCAGCCGTGTGACAGTGCTTTTCAAATCACCATTTTCTTCTTCCAGTTGCTGAACCCTGTGTTAATAACAAAAACCTTACAGCAGATATCTCTTCAAGACTGCAGGCATGCAAAATAGTGTGCTCTAAAAAGCCATTTCACTTGCACTTGACAGAAAGACCAAATACAAAAATCTTTCTAATCTTAGCACTTTTTAACGTGAGCTTTTTGATAGTTTGTTTTTAGGGCCCAAAACATCACACTGACCCTCAGATTCTTGTGCTCCTAAAAACAAGTACCTAAAAAAATAAATCAAATCGGAAGAAACAAATGTTTGCTACAGCTGGTCACAATTCCCTCCTTGAATCCATGCCAAATATCCAGCTAAGCTGCCTACATGGGCCACGTGGATTAAAGCATTAATGTAAGGCATCCTCCCAGCTTTTGGGCTTTAAGACACACAACTGCACAGCTACTCTACTGACCTGCCAACCTGCCACCATCTGTGCATTGTCTGGTGGTAAACAGCCTACATTTACATGCAAAGTAAAAATGAAGACAAGAGAACCTTGTGCTCTGTTCTGGGTGGCACCAAGGTGTTTGTTACCTTGTATTCAGCAGTTCGATTTCAGTGCCTTTCTCTTTTTCATACTTGCTGTAAGCTTCTCTATGTCTCTTTATCTCATCTTCCAGGGTCTGTTCTGCTGATGTTTCTTGGTCTTTCAATAGTTCCTCTAGTTCATGAACTCTAAGGAAACCAGATCTCACTTGAGTAAGAGCTTCACAAGTACTTAAAAAATAAGTGTGCAACTTCACCGCCTCCGTCTTTCTGGCCCATTCCTTTATTTCATTCTACTTCACCCTCTCTCTTGGCATTTAATCTCTCCCAGTATCTCTCCCGGTATTTAATCTACCCAATAAGCACAGAATTAAGTAGTACTGGTTCATCTATTATGTTTTCAATCTCAAGAAGCTGGGACTACAACCCAGCCTTATGCTCTTGCTACATGCAAGAAAAAAAACCAAATCCAACCACCACAGTAACCTTTCTCACAGTACAAGAGCTTGGTCTGTGCAAGTCAGTAACATCTCTGTTAAAGACACCAGTTTGGAAGGCCTCTGCTTGCTCAAAATTCATCCCTATTGCACTTGACTTCTCAGATGAAGCCTTATTTCATCTGTCAGCATTAAGGAAGGAGACTTGGTCATACTCTGCAGGTAGAGATGTTCCTTCCCCACAATTGTGTTCTGGCATGGTAAGGAGACCTGGCTCTGTGCCCTGTTACCTGTGAACTAGCTGTGTGTTCTCTTGTTTCAGTTTGCTCTTCAGGTCACCATTGGTCAGGCTGTCATTCTCCAGTTCTGTCACCTTCTTCTCTAGGTACGTTACCTGGAAGGGGAAGTGGAAAAAATGGAAGAGTTTGAATCTCTCTTCAAACGCTCCTTCACTGCTCCTAACTGGCATTTAGCTATTCTACTCTTTTTTAAAGGTGGCATATTTCTCTGCAAAGCCAGCAGTGAAATTAAGCTCTGAAATTCTGGGTTCCCCAGATCCAGCATCTTCCTTGAAGATGATCAATGCAAATACACCCCAAAGAAGTACTAACACAGTGCCTGGATCTGTGCTCACACAGCTCTTACAATACTGGGAAACAAAGTCGTAATATCAATGGAACATCAAGGAAATTCTGAATGAGGTACTTCAGATCAGGGGTCACTGTGAGCAAGGAGTTCCATCCATGGGTGCAGGTCTGCAGCAGGATTTGGTTGGGTCCATTAATCCCAAGGCACACAGCTTCTCACCTTTTCAGTGATATCATTGTCACAGGAGTCTATACTGTCTCTGAACAAGTCTTCTGTGCTGCCATTGCTGCTGCTGAAGTTACTGTTGTGGAAGAGTTGTCTGAAAGATCAGAAGGATAATTACTTTGCTTGATGAGGAGAGAGGACAAAGAGTCTGGTTGAGACTTTGAACATCTGATGCTAAAATCTGTGCAACCATTTCAGTGACAATTACAACTGTTTAAACACAAGTCTTACAAGAGACTGGTAGCTAAATGAAGTCACACTGAGCACAGTCAATGACATTAGTTCTAGGGAGTGAGTTCTTTGTTGCTTTTGATAGGATCTGCCACCAGCATTAACATAGTTTAAAAAATACTTAAGTCTTATTCACACTATGTACTGAATTGTACTTGCCTTATTAGAAATTTTAAAAAGGTCACCACTGCACACTGGTTGGTGCAGTTAATCTAGAAAATTTCATAGAGTAAGAATTTTAAAAAAATATAAAAAAAGAAATCCCAAGCAGTTCCCACTGTAGAATAGTGTCAGAAATACGTAACACTGGAGATTATGCAAAATGTTCTCAACCCTTACAGGCCTCCCCAGCCCAGGGTTGGCTCATTCAAAGGAAGATGACAATGCTGTATGTCCTCTTTAAAGGGGTGCTCTTGTTTTCCTTTGCATTTTGGCAACAACAACAAGGCCCACATTATGAGGGTTAAAGAAGCAATACCTGGACTGATGGAATAGCAGTATAAAGGAAGAAAGTTGGCAGACAAGGAAGCAACTATCTATGTTTTTAAGAGTTCTTTCCAGTTCAGGAGCCTGCTCCAAGCCAAGTATTGGCTTCTATATTCTTTAACATCTCTACCCAAACACAGGCCCCTTTCCTTGAAAACTTATCTTGGCAAATTTTTGTTTTCCAAACTTATTCTTAACCTCTTCTCCCACTCCCACTTATGGAATTGTTATGACTGATTCCACAAGTATTCATGGAAAAGTTGAAGACTCTTACCTTCCAAAAGCTGTGCTTGATATTTTCCTGTTAGGGCTATATGGATACAGAAGGAATGATATAGGAATTAAATACTGATTTGATCCAATTTTAATTGCACAATGAAATAGAATATTGACTATTTTAGCAAAGTCAAAACATGATTCTGTGAACAATATTCTTTAACAACTTAACCAAAAGCTGCAGTTACTAACAAATGCAAAGATGAGTGAAGCCACAAATTACTGTGATCATTAATAAGTCAATTTGCAAATACTGTTATGTTTAGCAGAGATTTGTCAGTGTAAATCAAAGCAAAACTAACATTAGAAACACCACAAAGGGACACTAAGTTAGTGATGAACTAGTGATTCTGGATTCCCAGTTTTTAGATGATTTTATAAACAGTTAGTTTCTTCTTCCCCATAATGCTTCCCAGTTCAGCACAGGAACTGAGGTGCTTCCCATTTTCACAGCTCCCTTCTGCAAGCCAGGGACTGGAATTATCCAAACAAAGGGTCACACCGCAGACAACAGCACCAGAACCAGATCAAAACATCCTGCTGCACCTCTCCATGAGAGGATGTCACATCTCAGCGTGCACAGGCACAGCTCTCTGCCAGGGCATCGCTCTCTTCCAGCCAGGCATTCACAGCCTCCCTCACAAAATTCCCAGAGCCCTGGTGGGTCATGCTCTGGGTGTTGGCAGAGCCTTGCTAGGGCAGGAACACTGTTCATGTCAAGTGCTCCACTGCTGTGCCATCGCCAGGGCAGTGTGCTCTGTCCCAGGGATTGTGCCAGCAGGCAGGACTCCCGTTCAGTTTCTAGGGGGAGCCAGAATCCCACCAAACAACTCCCTTCAAAAACCCTGGGTGATTGTTGCAAGCACTTTCCAAGTGCTCAGCACAGCTCAGAAGGGGGTGGAGTGGCAGAGATGTAAGGAAATTTCCTTACAGAAATGTAAGGAAAGAGCTGAAATTTCAAAGAACCCCAAAAGTAACTTCTGCCATAGGAACTGATCATTTTTCCAAGTTCCCTTGAGGATTAAAAAAAAAACCAAAAAACCCATAGGAACAAAGTACCTCTGCTGACTAGTAGCTTTAGGAGAGGTGTATGTAAGGTTATATGCATTAGCTAAGGATCTGCAGATCCCTCCTTCCCACCTGGAGAAAGCAGTAGTTAACTGTAGATCTGCACTAAGCAGCACAACAGATCTCACTTCCTGGGAAAAATTCCTGGAAATATCACTCTCACTCTGCAATCAAAGAGCTCATTGGTTAAAATATTTGAGTTTACTAATGCTGTCTGCACCTTAAGTCAGAAAAATAATTACTAGCTAATGAAGAACAGCATTTTGGTTCAGGCTAGATGTCAAACTCTAAATTTCTTACTGTTTTCTAAGGACAACACATGTGTAAGACATAATGGGATACAGGAAAGGAGAGGGTTCTCTCTCCCTCTCCTCCTGCTTCTAACTGGTGCCACTTCCAGGGGGCATTGCCAAAAGCAGTGCAATAGGCTGCTTACCTGTTTGCTTTCAAGTTTTTCAGCCTGGCTTCCAAATCGTTGAGGAGATTTATCTTTTTGCAGCACTGTGAGCAGTAAACATCCAGTAACTCGCTGTTATAAACATGCCTCATTTTTCGGGGGGTTTGGCCAGCGCTGTTTGCAGGAAAGGAGAGATGTTACTGGCTGTAGTGACCAACTCACAACTGGCTTTCCTCTTGACTGTGTGTCTGTGTGTCAGAATCACAGGTGAGGGACTTGAAGAATCACCTCTAACCACAGTCATCTAATTCAGAGCTGATGATGGAGCGTTCTGGCCTTAGGGCAAGTCTATCTGTCTGAGCTGAGCCTTTCCAGAGGACGTGGTCTGGGTGTCAGTGCAAAGAACCAGTCTGGGTGACCAGAAGAATAGCAAAAGGCATACAGAGTCCACTGGGATGCATGTAGCAAAGGCAGCTAGATCAGTATGTTCCACCCCAGCAGTGCCCTCCTCTCATCCTGCCCATCTTCCCATTAGAGCCTGGCATGCAAACCAAAGAGTCTCTTCTCCAAGAGAAAGACAGGAAGATGAAAAACAGAGTGGCTGGGTAAGAAGTCACACAAAGCCCCTCAGATGGTAGGATGAAAGGAACCCTGGAATGAGGAGGAAGGGAGAAGTGGACACAGAGGAGATAACAGTAGCTCTTGGCATGATAAAGAGAAAATAAATTCAAATAAAAAAGAGCAATCATGGCATGAAGTGCACTGAGCCCCAGGAATGAGAATGGAAAGGGCTGCACAAACCCAAGGAAGGAGGGGATGAAGGATACAAGCCATCCTCGTGAAAGGGCAGAGGAGAAGGGTGCTGGCTCTGCATGCAGGACAGAGGTGGCAAGGCTGGACTGCAGAAGTGCTGGAAACAGAGGGGAGCACGTGGGGGCTGCATGCAGAACAGAAGGATGCAGTGAGCTTGTCCTGTGTTAGCCATGAAGCACAAGACCTTCGTGTGCTGTTGATCCAAGCAGGCAAATCCTAGAGAATCTCCATGCTCAGCTCTTCCCAACCCTGCTCCCCCATTCCCCTGCCTGGGGAAGGACTGTAAAATCTGGAACTGACTCGGTCACAGGACGTAAGAGCTGCAGAGACTGAGGTCACATGCAGGAAACCAGTGCAGTGCTGTGGCTTTCTAGCTCCCAACAGAGAGCAGCTACTTGCTTATGATAACCCTCTGTCCGTGGGCAGCACTTCCCCTCCCAGCTCAGTGCTGAGGATTTGCAGTATCAGAACACCAAAGAGAAACAGCTCTCCTGTAAATCTTCTCTCCACTGCATCAGGGCTGGTGCACAGTGCTAAGCTGGTTTCCATTGCAGCAGATCCCTTCCAGTACTAGCCCTGAACTGTGAAATATATTGTCTGCAATACAATGCAATCTCTAGAAGCAAAACAGCCCAGTTATTTCAACAGAACCCAACAGAGGTTATCAGAAACAATGTATTTGCTCAGCTCTTATTAAATGCAGTCTGTCAACTGGAGGGCAGAAAATGAAGTGATAACATTTTAAGGTGGGTCTGTGTAACCAGTGTAAACTCTGGTATGGTCAGAGAAGAATAAAAATTAAAAATTGTTTGTTAATGAATAAGGAGCAACCTGGAAGATACAGATGAGCCAAGGTCAGAGTAGGCGTTGGTTCTGGTCTCATCATCAGGGCATGGGCTACTGGGAGTAAAATCCACATCATCTCCTTCCCCATAATCTTCAAACTGTTCTTCATTACTGATCAGAGAGGCGGTAGAGTAAGTGGAGAGGTCAGATGCTGCAGAAGGGTTGTGAGGACTTGACCTGAAACAAGAGGTCAAAACATCTCGAAGGCCGACTTTGATAGCACCTCACCTCACATGGAATCTGCCACCTTCACAGCCTGTCCCCTCACTGGAAGTTGTACCCCACTTCCTTTGTGCCAAAACCCTGAAGTGCTAAATGCATCTGATGTGCAATGGACATGGTGCCCTGAAGGGCACGAGCACGGGAATCTACAAACAAGCTGCTTGTGAGACAGGTTTGGATCAACACAAACCACTTCACTTTAAAGAGCACACCCTGATGATCCTCACTCACCATTTCCTTGTGAGGACTTCTGCTCTGAATGCAGACAACTCCAAAATGCATGGGGTAGTGAGAGGAACACGTGCAAGACAGAGGCTGTCGCTGTATTCCATAATCAGAGAGTTTTCCAGTAATCCCAATAAACCCTCTCCCACACCCCAGGAGTTCCAGCCACTCTCTTCTGTGTGGTCAGAAACAAACTTGAGCTCACCACACCTGAGAGTCACTAAAGCTATTGATGTGACCTTCCTTCCATCATGACAAATTGTGTCTTTCAGAGCAGATAAGGACCACAAGGAGAGGCTGCCTAACTACCAGAGAAGCACCTCAAATAGTGCCCAACAGGCAGGAATGGCAGGACCCTGTGACCTCAGAGAGAGAGGGCACAGAGGTAAATAGATCAGCAGAGCCAGGCACCACAGGAAAGCAGCTGGCAGAGCAGTTTTGAGCACATCACATCTAATAAAACAGGGCAAGTTGGCTGCAGAGAGGGCACAGTGTTCTCCTGCCCAGAGTCCAGACTGCCCTGCAGCCCCAGAGTGCACCTGCCGAGGCAGGGATTCCACACAGGTTTGCTCAGCTCCCACCTCAGTCAGGCATTCAGAGAGAAGCCACTAAATTCACATACAAGTTCTTACAAACAAAGTTCTCCCTACAGAAAACCCACCTGGAAGGCCTGAAGTAAGATGATTCACTTGTGGAACCCTGGCTTTGCCCAACACATTGCTCTTCCCACTACAGAGCAGAATCCAGGGCCTCTGGAATACAGGCACTGATGGAATCTGCTGGCACTTTGTGCAGATTGGTTCAAGTTTTCCACTCCCTCTGCCTCAGTGCACAGTGCCTGCACCTTCAACTCCACCAGCTGAGCCACGGGACAGTAACTCCCAGTTGATGGTTCTACAGCAGCTCAGCAATATTTCCTCCTATGTTTTTTTTTGAGTCTGCCTTGAACCTCCCAACCTCTCCACAGGGAGATTCTTTTTCCCGAAATACTACACTGATGAGCTGTAAACAAGAGATGCACCAGTGTTCCTTTGGCAAGCACTATCTGCATATCCCTTCCCTCCAAAAGCAATTAGCAGAAGAGGAAGCCTGCCAACATTTCAGATGTATGCTCTTTTGTTTCTCCCGTTTTGATGAGATCCATTTATAACCTGCAACTCATTTATCTAACTCACATTAACAGAAATTAGGGCAAGTCAAGCCTGGCACACTATTAAAGGATGAAGATAGGACTACTCACACTAGAAATAGATCAAACTTCTCTAACAAGGCTCCTTGGCTGGGGCATTAGTGAGAAGCTCAACATCTATTCACGAAGAACTGCTGTGCCATGTATTGATTAGTTTTTGGGGGATCTCATGATCTGTGTAACTGCAACTGCTGTTTGCATCTCAACATAGTTACACCGAGTCAGTTTGGGAAGAAGTTCCTCGTAACACCTCCAGCAGGACTGGAGGTCTAGGAATTGCAAAGCCATTTGCAAAAGAGTTGCTAAAAGCAGATGATTTCCTTCATTCTAACGCTTTCTGAAGGAAACTTTCATGTGTTTGGTGTTTTTTGTTTGCTTGTCTTTTAAAGCTATCTCCTGCTCTGCATGAAGCTTCACAAGTGTTTTCCCACAGATTTACCAAGGCTGAGGAGGCTTCAGAGGATAAACCAAGGTCTATCAGTAGTAGCACAGTAGCTCTTAGTAGTTCCTGCCTGCCCTAGAAGGAGGGTACAGGATGCACAATGCCTTTCCCACCCCCTTCACAAGAGCCTGACTGGCACAGCTGGAAGGAAAGACACTCATTTCAAACCCAGTACAGGTGAAAGTCACTGCAAGGATGGGGCTTTGGAGAACTGGGAATGGCAAGCAAAGGAGACAAGTTTGATAAAGAGCTGATGAAAACTGTAATTATCTTGATAAATCTCTGAGATTGCTTGGGCAAGTGGGAAAAGGTCAGAACAGGTAGCTGAGAAATTCAGGAGGAGGGCAGGAATGAGGCTGCACAGGGAGCACCTGAGGAGGCCCAGGAGAGTGAAGGAAGGCTGCCTTAGCCATGAACAAAGCTCAGGACACACAAGTTGAGATGGCAAGCCAAAAATAGGGAAGACAAGGCAGAGGCTTACAAAGCAAGCCCAGCTGAGCTCTGTCCTGTGGTACTGCATTAACTCAGTTCAAAGCAGGATTAAATCAAGTTGGGTCCTTTTCCCACCCCAGTCACCTTTAGCCAACACCCCCAGGGACACACCTGGGAAGAGTCAAGTTAGGATTACAGAGACACTGGTGTTAACAGCAAACTATGGTTACACACACACATGCCAGCACACCCCGTGTTAAACACCATTTACTGCTGAACACTAAAGGTTATGGAAATTAGAAACACAAAGAATTAACTTGGTACATGAAGTTGCAAAGCAAATCTGCAGAGCCCACTGCCAGGTAACTAGATGCACAAAAGACTAAAGCAGCATTCCTCATACTGAACTGCTTTGCAGGAAGTATTTAATTCCAGCATGTAAAGCTTAAGGGAACACAGAAGATCCTAAGTTTTGAGGGATGCCAACACAGTGATCCATCCTGGAGAGACCCACCAATGCTTTCACTTCAACACACAAGTCCTGTGAGTGCTCACAGAACATGCCAGAAGGAGCCAGGACTGGGACTACCTAAGCAGGCCTGGACATCCATCTCCCTCACACTGCAAATGGATGTTTAGTCTCTCAATCCACCAGACCTCCTCAGCCTCCCACAGCAGGGATTAGTCACCCAAAGGCTCCTTCCTCCCTGGCACACGCCTTGGAACAGAACAGAGCTGCTGCCACGGGGCAAAACCAGCACTCACTTGTCCCCGGGCAGGAAGAGGCCCCCCAGGACACCGTCCTTGTCCTGGCAGACGTCAGAGGCCTCCGAGCTCTGGGCACTCTCGATGGCACTGTCCATGTCAGACTCATGGTGAACCTCCTGCTGGGCCAGAGTCATCCCGTCCTCATCAGGGAACAGCTCCGACTCGCTGTAGGCGCTCTCGCTGTCCAAGTAGGCACAGTCCTGGAGTTCACCCCCCTGGAAGGAGAAGAGTTGGGAGTCAGTTCAGATCGCCCCTTGAGGGAGTCAAGCAGATACAGGAGAAGCAATAACCCACTCTCTGGCTGCCCTGGCAAGCAACAGTGATACTGAATAAAAGCCATAAAACAACAAGCTGACCTGCTTTTACAAAGCCAGTTCCTGCAGGCCCCTGAGGTAGCTTGTACCTTCCAGAGGGGCTCAGATACTGTCTCTGACTCTTACATGGGAGTAAGGGTCAGAGGACACAACACTCAGGCATGAAATGCAATCAATTTTGCCCTAATTTACTAAAAAAATGCACTTGAAGTAACAAATATCCTCAAAGTTTTATAACAAAATGAGGCATCCTTTGAAAGAAGATAATACATGAGTCACTGAGAGTTAGTCCTGTGATTAATATTATAGATTAAACAAAAGCAAACCAGATAAGCCTAACAGTTTACTCTGCCTTTGAGGATGCACAAAAATATATAAGGTGAAAAAAGAGTTGGCAGGTGTTAAAATGTTTATGGTAAGTCATGATGATAAAGATTTAAGAGAGCAAGAAAAAAAAAAAGACTGAAATCATCTGTTCCTGCTTCCTGGAACCACGTCTTGATCATGTATCAACTAAAATAAGACATCATTCTCATTAATGCAACTCTTTGCTCTTGCTGTTCGTCCTCTCCCTCCCCTTCTTGCCCCGTGAACACTCACAACAGCCAAGACAAGCTGAGTTCTATTTGCTTGGCCCTGAGGGACAAATAAAAATTCTTAATTGAAAAAATAAAGGCGAAGATTTCACTCTGTCCTTTGATAAGCAGCAACACAGGGTTGCTTTGACAATTCCCATCCAGCATGACACAAATAACTCAAAGGTCCAGAGCGAGTCCTGCAAATGCTCTGACTCAGAGCTCCACTCCAAAGCTCACCTGGAAGCTCCACAGGCAGCCTGACCATTGAGCTGCTGTCAGGAAGTGAAGACAATCAGGCATTTAAAGCTCAGTTCACTGGCACAAGGAATGGAATATTTCATTCACGGATATACCTCATGTTTAGGCATAACTGTCATCCTGCCCAGCTCCTCCCCAAGGAATCCCAAGGCACTGGCAGCCTGGTACCACTGCCAGCATCCCCTGCCCTTCTGCTGAGCACCTTCACTGGGACACTGCCACAGTGGCACCACTTGCTACAGCTCTGGTTCAGCCTCTGGACACTCCTCTGCTGGAAGCAAGGAGGCTTAAAGCCCCTCCTGCAGAACCAGAGGTGTTCTGTGCTGATGACACAAACTGTTCTCAGCGTCTTTTTCACTTCATCACGACAAGAGTCAGGCAGAAGCTGCAGCTTCTGAAGATTTGCAAAAACTCCTATCAGAAATGCAGGTCTCGCTGTCCATTTTTTCCCTGAAACACCAGTTTATATAACTACAAAATCTCCCAGCATATGGAGGCTGAAAAAATTCAAAACAACCCCACCTGCTCAAACCTCATTAACTAATGAACACCCGAGCAGGGAAAAGCACAGCACTGCCTGCTGTGTTTGAACCTCCAGGTACACTGGGTGCTTTTCTAGCTGAGCTTTCAACAGGTCTTCCAGATGAACAAGGAATGTCAGTGAGACACTTATACAATAATAACCACACGTGTAGATGCCTTTTCCCACTGCTCTGTGTCAACCTTGTTACACCTGAAACTTCCCTTAGGTATCACTCAGAGATGTCCAAAAGGACATTCAGCCTTGGTTCCTGCCATGTAGTCTCTACTGAAGCCATGCTGACTCATGCAATCGGATTTACAGCTCTGAGCCACAGCCCCTCATCCACAGGCTGGTTTGGCAGGTCAGACCCCAGCCCTAGAGCCTGTCCTGGCCCTGCCTTAGCCCCGGGTTCTCCAGCACATCTCACCTGCACCTTGCACCATCACAAGCAAGCAGGGACAATGCCACTGTTGCTCTTTGCAAAGTACCTTGGGATCTACAAACAGCACAAGCAGTAAGACCTTTTTAGTAGGTGCTGAAAAAGCAAATATTGTTAAGAGCAATTAAAATGTTTCAGAAGTACCCGGGAGTGTTTGTTTATCTAACATTTCCCTGAAGTTTCCTCCCGCACGCTGAGCCCCACAGGCCCAGAGGTCCCATTTCTCCTAACAAATTTAATGCAATAAAGCCCTTGACTGCTGTTAGGGAATTGCACCAGCTGGTAAAAGTCTGATCCAGGAGGGAAAGAGAGTAGCACACAATGGATCCCTGAAGCTCCCAATTAGCACGTCTTTTTCAGAGGTTTTGGAGAAGTCTCTGCTTAAGCAAGTTTTTATAGCAGGAAAATCTCACTGGTATTAAACAAATTAACACAAGAAAGTAAAGGTCGAGAAGATCAGGAAAGACTCCCTTTTTGCTCTCTGTAGGTAACACCACACATTTGCTTTTTCTAATAATAGCTGCCGAGCTGCTCTTTAAAAAGAGTCCATTAGCAATTAAATGTGCAGTGTCATCTGTACAGGCTGAGGGCTCATTTCTCTTTCCTGTCACTTTGTGGCAACTTAACCTTTACACATTTACTTGTCTGAGAGTGTTCATCCACAGCTCCAGCACAGGCTGCACTGTTCCCAGCCTGCTCAGTACCAGGGATTCCTTCCCAAGTGCAATTGTTCTGTTCCTACACTTCTAAAGTCCCGTGGAAAAAAAAAAGGAGAAAAGAAATGAGCTTTTGGAGGCGATGACCCATTGTAAGACTTGGAACCCCTTCTGGAAGGAGATCCTCCCTTCTGCTGATCCCACCCTTGAGCTGAGGGGAGCTCAGGGACTGATGGGGACTGGATAAATGAAGAACATGGGCCAGCCAAGCTCCTTGGAGGAGCTCCCCCTCAGCTGCTTCCTCGCAGCAGGGGAAGCAGATCCCACATCCCAGGCTGCCAGCCCTCCTCAAACCTGGCACCGACCCCACACCCGGCACAGACAGAGTGCTCAGCTGCTTTCTGAGCACCCGGCAGCCAAATCACACCCTGAGGGACCCCCGGCCCTTTCAAAGCAAGCAGCACCAACAAACAACCCTGCCAGGAAGGCTCAGCTGCATCAGCTGCTTTTCCATGCTTTTAAGTGCTCGAGGTCCACCTCCAATCGGTGCCAGTGCCATTTCAGCAAGATGTACAGCAACCAGGACCAGCCCCTGTGCTGAAACCTGTTCTCTGTGAGCAGAACTACGTGCTTTGCTATTAAGTTTTAAGAGCTTAGGGGTGTGGAATCACTACACCCCTAATAATGCAGTGTTCCAGGCACAAGGATACCTGTAAAGCACGGAACAAGGATAACACCACTGAGGTGTCTCTTCAGCTCCTCGATGAAACCAGCCTTCAGTGCAACTGTCACAATTACACATTGAATTACAGGTTTTCCTTCTGTGGCCTAAATAACCAGCAGGAGAACACAGAACACAGACAAAGCACCTTTAAAACAACTGATACAGGTTCAATAAGCCACTACAAGACAAGAGGATCAGGGCATGTCACTAGTAAACAATATACAGGCATCCACGCCTTCCTGACTAAAGCTGTAAGTTATTTCAAGCTGCAATTGTTCAGTGACCATGGTTTCTCACAGAACCCTACTTTCAACGATGCCATGTAGCACAAGCTGCTTACAGACCACACCTAAGCTGCTAAAAAAAAAAAAAAAAGACAAAAGAAAAAGGCTGATTGCACACCTTAACCCCTCAAATTATTCCTTCATAGCTTAGATATCTACAGTACTGCAGGTACCAAATTAGAGGTTGGCAAGAACAAGTGTTATTCGGGTAGCCTTGAAAGAGCTAACTCGAGTTTAAGGAGAGTTTAAAAAGTTTAACTATGAAGAGAAACTTCCAGCCTGAGTCATTTGTTTCCAGTGCACATATCATTAGCCCAAACCAGTAAGAGAATGATGCCTTGAATATGAATCACTGTGGTTGTCATTCTGCTAGACAGTTCCCTTTGTTGGCTGAGTCAAAAGAGATAAGTTGCTGCTTATGATCTTGGAAGATTCACATAAAAAAAAAACAAAACAACAAACAAAACCCCAGCCCCGAACCTAAAATACCACCAACACAACATAGCTGCGGGTAGGTTTAAACCTGCAAGTGCTTTGCACTTTATCTAATGGGATGCTCAAGATAACTCCAAGTGCTTCACAGGCAGCCAGCCCGACTGCTTGTCTAGCAACTGTTGAATATTCAGCAACAGTTTGCTCTATAGAAGCACCTGCTGCCCAGAGATCCAAGGCCACTTCACAGAAACTAATGAATTCCCTTCCTCGAAAGAGGCGATTGTGTGGCTGCATTGAAGGCAGATGAGTAAGCCCAGCTTGCCTTTGCAACAGCAACCCCAAACAGAAGCAGGAACCAGAAGACAGTGATTCCCATGGATTCCTTCTGATCCTTGTGGGTCAGGAAAGCAGTGTCAGCTCTGCCTTGCCCTGCAGTGACCTGACTGGGCTTTCCCAGGTTGGAAGCAGTCCCTAAAATATGCATATAATACAGCTGAAAGCTAGTAACTTGGCTGACAGACAGGCTACATGACATGCCTACATCAATACATTCACGCTGAAGAGCAAGCCTCGTTAAAATTCACTCCCGTCACAGCCAAATCACCAGCACCCCTGACATTTAGACAGCTTCACAGTATGACAGAGGAGACAGGGAAGAAAAGAGCATCCAAGTATCCCACCACTGTGCAATTTGATTGGTAAGAGCTGGACCCACCACACACGACCAGAAACAAGCAATGCCACATGCACATCAGCCGTGGCACTTCCCTCGCCAGGATCGTGCCCCCAGCCTGCACTCTGACAACCTGAACCTGCTGGGTATGGGGCAGATGCCAGTCTGAGTCCCTGCACCCTCCTCATTCACTTTCTTCCCAGCAAAAACGCAGGAAAAGTCACTTCACCACAACTGGAAGGGAAGAGGTGCCACGTGGAGGTGTGCCAGGCTTGGTGGTCTCAGATGATTGTTACTTACTGTTGCACATCCATCATAAGAGAAAATCCAG